TTGGAGGCAGGATAAAGCTATGAGGCTGTTAAAAGTGCCCTTTTGCATCAGACAGGAAGAACGAAGGAGGTCAGATTCTTGGATTCACACCTTTAGTAAATAGACAAAGTGTATTTGTCCTTATTCCCTCTGTGATTAAGGGACGGTCTGATCTTTGGGTGAACCCTGGCATCAGTTTCTATAGATAGTCCTTGTGGAGTGAAGGATATGTGATAGTTGTGATTTTATCTATATCTATCTATCTATCTATCTATCTATCTATCTATCTATCTATCAATCAATCAAAGCAAAATATCACTCACGCATCATCACAAAATCTCCAGAACCGTAAAGCCTACAAACTTGAAATTTGGCACGTCTGTTCTTCTTGGCTTCTAGGTGCTCACTAAGAAAGGGGTTTTTCGAAATGACCATCAGAGCTTTAGTATTTCGTATATTATTATTAACACGCTCTGATGCTAAGGAGTTCTTCTCCCCCTCCCCACCTGAAAAGAAATCTGTTCCAAATGCAAAACACAAGCAGAGGAGAGGAGTTTCAGTTTCACAGCACCAAGCAGCTTTAGTCCAGAACAGTTGAGCTAAGCCCCACCCAGGCTCCTTGCTCACACAGCAAATACTGTTTCACTTTCCAAACAGCCCTCAACTCTCTCATACACTGACAGGACGCTAGCCAGATGAATACTGACGGATGTTGGTAGGCAGAGGCAGAATTTCTCCCCCTTATTTTCCTCCCCCAAAACTAAGCCCGACCACATAGTTTCGTAGCAAAGAACGGGTATCCAGCTAGTGTGTGTATGTATGTGTGTACACAAATATATACACACAGACACACACACACAGACAGACAGACACATATATACACACACACAGAGAGAGAGACACACACACACACACAATGTAATTTTAAGTTTAGGAGATCACAGGATGTGTTTCTTTTACACACACACACACACCAAGGGAATGCAGAATGCTAGGAAATACGCAGAAGGAAAGGTAGACCACCGAGCGATCCCCTTGTCTGGAAACAACCCCATGATTGTTTCTGAACCGGCTTCTCTTTTGCAAGGAATGTTCCTCTCTCGCAAAGGAGCACTTCTCTCCCAACAGATAAAAGGGATTTAAAAAACAACAACAACAACATAGAAAAGGGTTTCTCTGCTCAACCCCGTGCCTGTGGCCGACGGATTTATTAAGAGCTCTTTGTTTTAGTCTCTTGGCACCGGGAAGGGAAGCTGCAGCCTCCTCGCCTGATTGGCTTCTAGGGATCTTCGTTGGCAGAGAACCAGTTGTTGCTTTGAAAAATCTGCCCACTTGGCACCAGCGCATGGATCTCCTTAAGCAAGAAAGGAACAGCACGTTCCTCCCCACAGTAGCCACATCTCCCTCCCTGCCCAACGTTTGCTACTCCCAGAGATAAGACTGGAAAAGCAGAGTACAGGCAGTTCTCGGCTTACAACAGTTCATTTAGTGACTGTTGCAACGTCACTGAAAAAAAGAGACAGCCATTTTTCACACTTACGACCGTTGCAGCATCCGCATGGTCACGTGATTTACGTTTGGATGCTTGTCCCAAAGGTGCTTTTTCAGCAGACTTTCTGTAATGACCCAGGATGGGATACAAACCAAACACAGTCACAGAAAACAGGTGAAGCCCCTTTTATTCCTTCACTTTGCTTCCAAGCTCCGAATATCTTTGATGGAAGACAAAAAAAACCTCCCACACAGTTACACGAAGAAGGAAAGAAGCAACACAAACCAGGCAAGATAAGGGCTGGAGGATGTCCACAGATAACCCACGCTGGGAAGGATGCCAAACTCAGGAACTATAAACTAGAGATATTTACACGCTTTGTTTCCAGCGTTCGCCAGTACGCAAGTCCATACTCTTATTCAATTGTAACAGCTGCAGCCCATGAAGAGGATCAAGGCCCTTTCCTCCTGAGCAGACCAGTCTCTTCCTTATCCTCTCCTCCCCACGTGCCCTAGGATGGAGAGGGGAGGGGCTTGGGTCTTCCTCTAACTGCTCTGCTGGCCTCTGCCCTTCCCCAGCCTCCTCCACAACCTCCAGAGCCATACTTCCATTCCCTGTCGGCTGTTCCTCCTCTCCCTTAGATCGGTCTCTACCAGGGGCATGACACTTTCTGTTGTTTTTCTTTGAAGATGTTTCACTTCTCATCCAAGAAGCTTCCTCGGTTCTTACTGAGGAATGGAAGTCAAAGCTGAAGAAGCTTCTCGCGTGAGAAGCGAAAGGTCTTCAAAAGAAAAGCCAGAAAGTCCAGATGCCAAGTGGTTCGTATTTATGATGGTTGCAAGTGATTATGTGATCACCCTTTGCGACGTCCTGGACAAGCAAAGTCCATAGGGGAAGCCAGATTCATTTAACAAACCAGGTTGCTCATTTAACAACCACAGTGATTCACTTAACGAAAGTGGCAAGAAAAAAATCGTAAAATGGAGCCAAACGCTCTTAATAAATTTCTCGTTTAGCAACATAAATTCCAGGCTCAATTGTAGTCATATGTCAAGGACTACCAGTAGAGTAACAGAATAATAGAGTGGAAAGGGACCTTGGAGGTCTTCTAGTCCAACCCCCAGCTCAAGCAGGAGGCCCTATACCAGTGATTGTGAACCTTTCTGGCAGAGTGCCCAAACTGGAACGTGGATGCATGTGCGCATGCCAGAATGTTGTAAACCCAAAGATCAGCTTGCCATGGCACACATGCCTGTTTTTTGGCTGTTTTCAACCATTTTGTGGCCGTTTCAGGGTGTTTTCAGCCATTTTGGGGCCGTTTTTAGGCTGTTTTCAGCCATTTTGTGGCCGTTTCAGGTTGTTTTCAGCCATTTTGAGGCTGTTTTCAGGCAGTCTGGCGCCCACGAAGACTAGCTGGTCAGTGCACATGCCCACAGAGAAGGTTCTGTAAGCCAGAAACCAGAAGAGCACCTGGCAATGACACGCATGCCCACAGAGAAGGCTCTGTGTGCCACACATGCCAGAGGTTCGCCATCACAGCCCTATGCCATTTCAGACAAATGGCTGCTCAATCTCTTCTTAAAAGCCTCCAGTGATGAAGCACCTACAACTTCTGAAGGCAAATTGTTCCACTGGTTAACTGTCCTCCCTGTCAAATTTCTCCTTAATTCCAGATTGCTTCTCTCCTTGAGTAGTTTCCATCCATTGCTTCTTGCTTCAGATGCTTTGGGAGAATAGCTTGATTCCCTCTTCTTCTTTGGGGCAGCCCCTCAAATATTGCAACCCTGCTATCATGTCCCCCACTAGTCCTTCTTTTTGTTGGATTTTGATTGCGTCTGGTTTATCCAACGTGCCGAGACCGGCTGGTTTAGTAGATCCTGTTGGTATTTTACTTCTCTTGCAGTTGTGCATGACACCGAGGTGGAGATGGCAAGTTCAGACTTGCACCACGATGCTCACGGCAGTTTTAGAGTCATAATGTAGCTTTCCGCGTGAGCCCAAGGGTTATTATGCCTCTTGCACAGCAGAGGCAAAAGTTGGTTTATCTCAAAAGCACTGTCTGTGCAATTCAGGGATAGAAATTTTGCAGATTCCAATAAAGCGATTGGCATATTGAGTGGACCCTCAATGCAAGGGGCGCTAGTTGATCAGAAGGTCGGAAAAAGTGATCACAATTTTACCCACCTTGGAAGGACAGAAGGCTGAGTCAACCTTGAGCTGGTCGGTATCGAACTCCTGGCAATGGGCAGAGTCAGCCTGCAATACTGCATTCTAACTAGTGCGCCACCATGGCTCCTTGTGAAGTTTGTTATGAAGTCACTTTTTTCGATGCCATTGTAACTTCAAACTAAGCGAATGGTTGTAAAACCACCTGTAATCCAGACATTAACTGAATTAGCTCATGAATCCAAACTAGCATAGTCTTTTGTTTTGCATTTGGCTTGTTTTAGAGTCCTGTGGAATGCTTGATCCATCTCTCAGCATTGTTAGAATTGACGGCTCTCCTTTCTTGTACTAAATCATGGTTTATAACTTTGTCCTGCAAACCCAAGCAAGTTCTGGTTTCTGCCCCCACAATCCTGATCATTCATTTTTTCTCTCTTCGATTTCCTTGCCTAGTTCCTCCAGCCTGTAATACTGGCTCCCCCAGCAGCCCACCGAGGGAGGTCCATATTCTCCCAATATGGCGGACGAAGACCTGATATTCCACATGGAGTACCTGGACAACGCCTCGTTAACCAAACCAGGTTGTGGGAATTGCCACGAGGCGGACAGCGACGAGGAGGAGAATTATTACATCTGCCCGATTACAGATGACCCCGTTTTGAACAAGGCAGCCAAGGACAAAGTTCATAACTATTACAGCAACCTGGTCAAAAATGAGAGTTATTCCACCAGCTCTTCTCCCAGGAATTCCTTCCATGTTAGGGTAAGTTTTAGCCTCTTTGTAATTGCTTTTTCGTCCTTCCTTCCTTCCTTCCTTCCTTCCTTCCTTCCCTCCCTCCCTCCCTCCCTCCCTCCCTCCCTCCCTCCCTCTTTCTTTCTTTCTTTCTTTCTTTCTTTCTTTCTTTCTTTCTTTCTTTCTTTCTTTCTTTCTTTCTTCAGCAATGAGCTTTCTTGTTCGCTTTGGCTGCATGTCACTAACTCTGCCAATATGCATCATTTGGATATTTTTCTGCTTTAGTGTAGCTGCCCTTAAATTTTGGACAAGTGTGCTGTTCCAATTTGTGTTCTCTATAGTTTATTATTTGGCCAGCATACGCAGTGACTTTCTTACAAAGTCTGAAGAATTATAGCAGTCTTCCAATATCTAAGGCAGTGGTGGCTAACCTTTTTGGGCTCCTGTGCCAAAAATTGTGCAAGCACACGCTGGCATGCCAGCACCCAGAAGGCAATGCACGCCCCCTGCGCATGCGTGCGCAACCCCCCCACCCCCTTACCTGCACTGCGCCTCCCACCTGATTTTTGGCCTCCCAGATTTTGAGGAAATACAGGAAGTGATGAAACGGGCCTATTATTCGGCCTGCAGAAACCTGCAGAGGCTTTTTTCAAGCCTCTGGGAGGCCGAAAAAAGCCTCAAATAGCCAAAAATCAGCTGGGAAGTGCACGCATGCGCAATGAGGTAAGTTTGCCTGTCGCTCGCATGCCGGCACAAATGGGCCTGCATGCCACCTGTGGCATGTGTGCCATAGGTTCGCCATCATGGATCTAAGGGGTGCCACAAAGAAGAGGGGGTCAAATTATTCTCCAAAGCCCCAGAGGGCCGGACAAGAAGCAATGGTTGGAAATGAATCAAGAGAAGAAGCAACCTGGAATGAAGGAGAAACTTCTAACAGCGAGGACAATTAACCAGTGGAACGGCTTGCCACCAGAAGTTCTGGATGTTCCAACACTGGAGATTTTAAAGAAGAGATTGGACAATCATTTGTCTGATATGATGTAGGATCACCTCCTCCAGCAGGGGGCTGGACTAGAAGACCTCCAAGGTCCCTTCCAAGATTGTTATTCTGCATTTCATTGGCCTAATTGACATGTTTGTTGTTTTAAACTTTTTTGCTTGTATGCCATCCAGAATCACTTGTGTCTTGTGATGGATGACATAATTGTACATGCATAGGGGGAAAAAAGTTCAACTGTCTTTTTTTTAAAAAAAACAAACAAACCTCTGGGTGATTTAATTAGAAATCTTTTGCACATGAAACTGCCCACTGAAACGTACAGGTGACCTGGCCAGCGAGGACATAACCTGAGTATGGATTTTTGCACGCTTTACTTTCAGCCACAAATGTTTGTCCGAGCAGAATCGACTGATGCTCCTGAATATTTTTTGCTTGCACTGTGCCCTTCTTGCAAAAAAAAAAAGTCAAGATTTCTATTTTTTTTGCAAAAAATATTGTTAAGATAGAGATAACTGTTAGGTAAAAGGGTCTGTATTGATGATAATATCTCTGTCGAATTTGGAAGAAGAGGGAAGGAGCGATTGGGATCCTAGCGCCAAGGTGACTTTTTCGGTAGCTGCGATAACCATGTTGGCTTGTCTTGTTTTGCTGTGTCGTTCAGTAATTGTGTCTTGTCTGTGTCCTTCAGAATGGGACTCAGCACCCCCCTAAGGGCAGCGCTCAGACTGACCGTGGACGGGTAGGTCAACCCCAGATCCCTTCCCCACCAGACTCTAATAAACACATGTTTTACATTTCACATTGTCTTCATGTTATCCACTCCAGTTTGGGAACACTCTCCCCAAAGCCTGTCATTTATTAAAATTTTTCAGTTACTTTATTTAAACCGTTTATATGACCGCCCATCTCGCCACAAGTGACTGGGTGGATATCTTAACAAGACAGAAAGGTGGACATGATTAGAGAGAGACCAGACCAGGCTTATTTCCTTGAATGAAACTGACGTGGAAATGATACAAAATCCCTTTTCTCTCTTTTTTTCCCCCCCCTCTTGACTTTTTGCTTCTCATTTTTGGGGTACCCACCAGCTCATTTCAAAAGCCCAGATCTGGCTTTTTAAGCCAACATGGAATAAATAGGATCTGACAACCTCTTTGGAGGGGGATCGTATCAAATAAAAGTAACATTTAAACTTCCTTGAGCAAAATATTTTTATTTATTTATATCCCACCTTTATTGTTTTTATAACTGAAGGCGGAAAATACACACAATATTCCTTCCTCCTGTTTGTCCCACCAGAACAACAACCCTGTGAGGTAGGTTGGGCTGAGAGAGAGAGAGGCGGGGTCACCCAGCTGGTTTTCATGGCAGAGGCAGAACTCGAACTCACCACCTCCTGGTGATTGGCCCAAAGTCACCCAGCTGGCTTTGTGCCTAACCGCAGAACTAGAATTCACCATTTCCTAGTATCTAAACCAGCACCTTAACAGCTACACCAAGCTGTCTTTCCTATCCTGGCATTTTGTAATGACTTAGAAAAGTGATGGCTCTAGAGTTGTGATATTTTTAACCTCCTCTCTTTCGTACTAACATCTGCCTGAATTCTTGCCACTGTGTAGGTTTGGGGGCTTTATGTTTTTAAGTGTTTGCTGCTTTGGTGATGCTTGTGGGATGTTGGTGTGGTTTCTGTTTGGACACGAAAAGCCTGTTCCAGTTTCACTGTATATTTATTTTTTTAAAGAAACAAAGAGTGCTAAACTAAGTAAAGAAGTCCAAGGTCAACTGATGAGGCTTTTTGCTGGAAGAGACCCAACCAAGTAGAAGTAGAAGAAACAAAAATATTATTTTGTGCAAGGAAAAAAAATATTTGCATGTGATTTAATGCACTGAGTGTCTCTTCTCTCATTTATCATTGTACTTCTGTGCAGTTTTTGGACTGTCCAGATGCCCAACTTCTGGATTCCACTTCACACACACACACACACCCTGCTTCATCCCATGCATTCTTTCTATTTGCATTAACATTTTCAGCACACATTTTTCTTACTCGAGGGCTGAGTTTTGCAAAATAAATTTTAAACGTGTCCCTCCTTTGCTCCAGTGATATCCGTATTTTATTGAGCGAAACAGAAATAGCTGGAGTCTATGAATCAGCAGTGAATAATAGAGAAAGGAGGAATAAAATCCATTTTTAAACAAAAGAATTTCCAGTGGAGGGAACTTATTTACTGTTCTGTTTTGTTTCCCCAAAGAGTGGAAAAAAACAGGTATTGCAAATAAATATGGAATTAATAGCAATAGCACTCAGTCTTATATACCGCTTTCCAGCCCTCTCTAAGTGGTATACAGAGTCAGCCTCTTGTCCCCAACAATCTGGGTCCTCATTTTACCCACCTTGGAAGGACAGGAGGCTGAGTCAACCTTGAGCCTGGTGAGATTCGAACTGCCAAATTGCAGGCAGCTGCTAATCAGCAGAAGTAGGCTGCAGTACTGCACTCTTAACTACTGTGCCACCGTGGCTCTTAATGTAATTAACTTACATTAATTAATGTAATTAACCTCCAAAAATATAATGGAAAGTTTTTTTTTCAAAGTGTGATTTTCACCTTGGCTCTGTTCACACAATGTAATTTAGTGGCTTGGTTGCAAATCTCCTTGCTGGATAGGGAATTCTGGAAGTTGAAGTTCACAACTCTTAAAGCAGACGTCCCCAAACTTGGCAACTTTAAGACTTGTGGACTTCAACTTCCAAAATTCTTCAACTTCCAGAATTCTTCAACTTCCAGAATTCTTCAACTTCCAGAATTCTGGGAGTTGAAGTCCACGTCTTAAAGTTGCCAAGTTTGGGGACCCCTGTCTTAAAGTCAACAGGATTGGACACCTCTGATCTACACCATATGGTCAGTTCAAACGGGCCAAACGATGACCAGAAGGTCTCTAGACTTATGTTTTTTCCTGGACCAGAAGGTCTCTAGGTCCAAATGTGATCGAAATCTTGACCGGGTTTACGTGTTGCATTAAATCAACCTTACCACTTATCAAGCACAAGCCCAGCCTGTTTGATTGATTAAACCAGGGTTTGTGGATTAGCATAATACAGGTAGTCCGCAACTTACGATGCCAATTGAGCCCAACATTGATGTTGCTAAAGTGAGAAATTCGTTAAGTGGGTTTTGCTCCATTTTTTACAACTTTTCTTGCCCCTGTTGTTAAAGGGAAGCGCTGCAGTGGTTAAATTACTCTCCTGGTCATTGTGAATCTGCTTTTCCCCATTGAGTTTGCTTGTCAGAAGGTCGCGAAAGGGATTCCCAGGACACTGCAATTGTCGTAAATGTGAATCAGTTGTCAAGCCTCAATAAAATAATGGGGATGCTGCCACGGTCATAAATGTGGAAAAAAAGGTCATAAATTATTTTTCTTCAGTGCCATTGTAACTTTGAACACTCACTAAGTGAACTGTAATAAGTTAAGGACTACCTGTATCTGAACCATGGAAACTTAACCAACAGAATCAGGACTGTGAATTTAATCCGAGGGGGAATTTCTGCAGAGTACAGATTGCCTGAAAGCACTTTATATAAATAACTCACCTAATAGTTTTGACCTTTGCAGGAAGCATGGAAGCATGCAGTTGAGAAAGCTAAGCACATGCCTGACCCCTGGGCTGAATTTCACCTGGAAGACATCAAAATGGAAAACGTCACCCGCTACAGGTCAGTCGATATTTCCTGCACGCCAGAGATTTGAGGCTGAAGAATTTCTACTTTTGCTCCCCTGGTGCATTAAAAAAAAATAGTTTATTAAAATCAACAGTCCCTTGGCTATTTCTCTTCTCCCACTTTTTAAGGTTGTGATATTGTTGGAAAGGAGAAAGGGATCAGGAGACGTAACCGCCTAAAGGAAGATATCAGATACCAAAATCAAATTAGCAAAACGGGTTATCATTTCATTCCCTATTACTTAATCGGGTGCCTGGATTGGAGTTAATCCTATTATTATCCAGAAGCAGGGAACGCATCTTAGTGCTTATCTCCTGAACTCTTAATCATTCCTGCTTGCATCGTTTGTGTGTATAGGTGTGTGTGTGTGTGTGTGTGTGTGTGTAGGTATATCTAGGTATATGGTTATCTTTTGAGAGCTGAGTGGAACGAAATTTCATTTTAATGTATGCTGATTAGTGTACATTTAAAGGGACAATAACATTTCTATTATTCTATTCTGCATTCTATTATTCTGTTTTATTCTATATTCTATTGTCTATTCTATATTCTGTTCTATTCAATGACTGTAACCTTGTTGCTTGTATCCTAATGATTTTTATTGACTGTTTCCTAGTATGATTTGATTGCTGTACTCTATGACTATTATTAAGTGTTGTACCTGATGATTCTTGACTCTTGACAAATGTATCTTTTCTTTTTATATACACTGAGAGCATTTGCACCAAGACAAATTCCTTGTGTGTCCAATCACACTTGGCCAAGGGTCTGTCTTTCTTTCTTTCTTTCTTTCTTTCTTTCTTTCTTTCTTTCTTTCTTTCTTTCTTTCTTTCTTTCTTTCTTTCTTTCTTTCTTTCTTTCTTCTTTCTTCTCTCTCTCTCTCTCTCTCTCTCTCTCTGTATGTATGCATCTATCTATCTATCTATCTATCTATCTATCTATCTATCTATCTATCTATCTATCTATCTATTGTGCATTCTGTTCTGCATTCTATTCTATATTCTATTTCAGTCCATTCCATTCCAGTTAAACCTTTACTCCAGTTTAGTCTAGTCTAGTAATGACAAACATCTGTAAGTTGTGATGTTTAAAATCTGGGTGCACAGGGAGTGGGTGGGGTGTCAAAAGAGACTGAAAATTGGCCACCCTCCAAAAATGGTTCAACTACATATCCCAGCAGCTAGAGCCAAACATAAGGCACCAAAAGGGAATTCTAGCCTAGCCTTGTTGCATCCAAGCTGAGCTTCACAACTAGCTGCAAAGGTTACTCTGGGCTGTATAAAAAGGTTAAACTTGTTTCTCAGTAATTGGGAAATTTTATAAAAAAAAAATAAAGCAGAAAGATGGAACATTTTTTCATATGTGGTGGCAGTGCCCCAAAGCCAGAAAATATTAGATGAAAGTACAAAAATGGCTACAGGAGATAACAGAACATCAAATAGAATTTAAACCTGAACTATTCCTATTGGGAATAGTTAAAGGGAAATTTAGTAAACAAATCCAATACATCATATTGCATATAATAACAGCAGCGAGGATAGTTTTTGCACAGAGTTGGAAATTAGAAAACATACCATCCGAAGAGGTGTTAATATGAAAAATATTAGGAAGTGCTGAGATTACAATAGAACTAACAGGCAAGGAGGAATCAGAATACTATGCGGTATGGGATAAATAGTATAAGTGGATAGAACAAAGGAATAAGGGTTAATATATAGAAATAATTGTAAATATATGTAATATCTATGCACAATACAGTTAAAATGTAAATAGAGATGTGTAATTTGGAAAATAATTTAAAAAATAATAATAAAGCTTTATGAAACTTTTGGGTTTTGGCCAAACCGCTGCGCCCCATAGCAAACCATTGGTTTGGTTAAAGATCGCTGTGTTTGCTTAATGCTACCCCAAAATTTATAGTAAAATTGGGTCAGTCACATGACCAATCTGTTTTGCAACATCACAATATACAGCTGCAATGGGCTGGCTCTACTATAATCCTATGTGAAGAACTATCTGTATTCAATTTCTGAAAAGCTCAAAAAAAGATCCAGTTGCACGATGGATTTTTAGACCCGATTCTCGTCTCGTTTAGAATTTTCTTAGAATTTTTTCTCCCTATTCCTAAATCCGTTTTTCTTTTGTCTCCCAAATCGTGAAGATAAGTCAGTTATCAGTTCTTTGGAAGTATTCAAATAAGGGAAAAAAATGTTTGGAAAGATTTTTGCTTCCAAGCTATTATTAGTTTTGGCCTCTGCGCTCCTCTCAAAATAGGACTTTATATTTTCTTCCTCTTGGGCGCAACCACGTTCAGCAAAGCCAGAACACGAGCTTTATCCCCAACCCAACCTTAAAAAAAATATATCCAAAGGAGCAAAGGGAAGCGTGGAGAATGTGCATACGCTGGCTAACCTTTGACTGGAGCAAAATCCCTGGTGTAAACAGACACGTTTTTCTCGTGTTCCTTGCTTTCCAGAAGGGAAGCATTTATTTAAGGCTTCGCTAGTCGTTTCTGATTTATTGCTTTACAAGATCTGGGGTTGATGTAGCTGTGATTTGATTCCCCCCCCCCTCGGTTCTTTTTCACCTTATTAAAAAAAAAAAAAACTACAGTTGCCAAGTTTGAAAAAACACTGATTTGTAATGTGATACGTGGCGTGAACCACAGCTAATTGGATTAGTTTCTTATTTAATCCTCTTAATTTTACACTAACAGTTTCGTGTTATCTTTTTTTTTTAACCTTTTTATCATATTCTAAGCCACCCAGAGTTGCTGTTGACAGTGAAATAGAGGGTTTATAAATTTAATAAATCAATCAACTAATTCAGATGGGATCAGCAAGCAGTGGTTAAGCAGAGCCAAGACTAAAACATTGATCTGAACCTTGACGTTGTATTTTCCCCCCCTCTTTGCTATTAACTATGTGCAGGCTGGGAAATCAAACAGTAGAGTAGTGTTTGTGTGAACACAGACATTGTGTTGTGAAGAGTAATGGTAGGGAATCCCACAAGGCTTAGATTTTTTTTTTTTCAGGCTGTTTTTCCCTATAAAACCATCGTTTTGCTGTCAGAAGTTGGTTGGGTAAGCTGGATGGGCTGACAGGAGTGATAGTTTATCTTTACAGGGTGCTTTGGGTGGGAGAAAGCTGCACTGAGGCAGTGTGGATTCACACACCTGTCTCAAATTATTTATTCATTTAACTGATAGGATCATCCACCTGGCAGATGCAACTCTAGGTGGTTAACAACCTGTGAAAACAATAAGAAACAAGAATTTAGGGCCGTGCAGTGGAATATAATATATTCCTCTCTTTTTGCATTTTAATAAGGCGGTCCTTTCAAATTTTCTTTCCTTTTAAACCGGGCAGGTACAATGCCGTTACTGGAGAATGGGTCGAAGACGAAGTCTTGATCAAAATGGCTGCACAGGTAAGAAGTGCAGACTTCTTTTTTGGCTCTGGTTGTTAAGCGAATCACCATGGTCATTAAATGAATCGTGTGGTCATGAAGCAAATCCGGCTTCCGCCATTGACTTTGCTTACCCAAAGCTATCAGATTGAGATCGTATGACTGCAGGACTCTGCAACTATCATAAATAGATGCCCGTTGCCCAAATTTCGGTCATGTGACCATGGGGATGCAGTGACGGTCGTAAGAGCGAGGATGGTCAAGAGTCACTTTTTTCAGTAGCATTGTAATTCTGAATGGTCATAAGTGAATGGCTTGTAAATTGAGGACTACTTGTAATAACCTCTGTTTTGTTTTTCTAGCCTTTTGGCCGAGGAGCGATGCGTGAATGCTTCCGGACGTAAGTATGCAGTTATTTCTAGACCTCCGTGATTTTGAAAAAAAAAAAAAAGCTCCATTTTCTTGTTTTAATTCACCTCAGTTTATTCTTGAGGTTTCAATCAAGATAGGAAACCTGGTGCCAAGGAAAGAATGAAGGGCCAATAAGTTGCTTTCTGGAGCGAAAGCTTTTCACTCATTGCAAAATAAGCGGAAAATCACACCCTCTTACTCTCTGTGAAATTAGGCAATTCCTGGAGATGAAACAAATGGTGGTGGATATTCTATTTATACTAGAATCTTTTTTTATATATTTTTTTATTTTACAACAACAAACATAAACATAAAACTACATAAAACCTCCTTTCAATTTATACAGTGTGTCTCTTGATGTATATTTCTTGTGCATAATATCTGTAACCATTCCCTCTTAATTTTAAATATACTATAATCTTTTCATATAGAGACTAATTTCCAGCACTTGTACATTAATTCACTAACCCGGGGAATTAAAGCATTGTTTTTTTAAAAAAATGATGTATATAAGAAGATGTTGAGACTCTAGAGTCTAGAAAGAGTGCAGAGAAGAGCAACAAAAGATTTTAAGGGACTGGAGGATAAAACACATGAACGGTTGCAGGAACTGGGTATGTCTAGTTTAATGAAAAGAAGGGCTAGGGAAGACATGATAGTAGTCCAATATCTCAGGGGCTGCCCCAAAGAAGAGGGAGTCAAGCTATTCTCCAAAGCACCTGAGGGCAGGACATTTACAAAGGACTCTTAAAACATCTGCTATTTCCATAGCATCCTAGCTTCACTAGACATTTGTTTCTCTCTTGTCTTTTTTTTTTTTTTTTTAGGAAAAAGCTGTCCAATTTTCTGCACATGCAGAATTGGAAAGGGGCCTTTAATTACGTGGCAAAGCGGTACATCGAGACGGTCGACCGGGCAGTCTATTTTGAGGATGTGCGGCTGCAGATGGAAGCCAAGTTATGGGGAGAAGAATATAACCGCCATAAACCTCCCAAGCAGGTACCTCCTGGTGCGGAATCCTATGTTGCATTAACAGAGGGATACAATCAAGATCAAGGGAGGTACTAATACCACTCTGCAGAGCCTTAGTAAGACCACACCTAGAGTACTGCATCCAGGTTTGGTCACCACGTTATAGAAAAGATGTCGAGATTCTAGAAAAGAGTGCAGAGAAGAGCAACCAGGATAATGAGGGGATTGGAGGCTAAAACACACGAAGAACGATTGCAGGAACTGGGCATGGCTAGTCTAGTGAAGAGAAGGACCAGGGGAAACATGGGAGCAGTGTTCCAATATTTGGGGGGCTGCCACAGAGAGGAGGAGGGGGTCAAGCTATTCTCCAAAGCACCTGAAGGCAGAACAAGAAGCAACGGATGAATAATCAAGGAGAGAAGCAACCTGGAACTAAGGAGAAATAGTGGCAGGAATTTGGTATGTCTAAGGAAGAGAAGGACCAGGGGGTGACATGATAGCAGTCTTCCAATATTTGAGGGGCTGCCACAAAGAGGAGGAAGGGGTCAAGCTATTTTCCAAGACACCCCAAAGGCCAGACAAGGAATAATGGATGGAAACTGATCAAGGAGAGATTCAACCTAGAAATAAGGAGAAATTTTCTGACAGCGAGAACAATCAACCCATGGAACTGAAGTTGCCATAGGGAAGTTGTGGGAGCTTCATCCCTGGAGGCTTTCAAGAAGAGATTGGACTGCCATCTGTCAGAAATGGTGTAGGGTTTCCTGCTTGGGCTGGGGGGTTGGGCTAGATGACCTACAAGGTCCCTTCCAACTCTGTTAAAGAATCTTGGAGAGAACTAGTGAAGGCCAGAAGGTTCAAAATCGTGCGCGTTTCCCCCTTCCCCCCTTCTCTGTCAGTTATTTCTCTTTCTTTTCCTTAGGTAGATATTGTCCAGACCTGCATAATTGAAATGAAGAATAGACCGGGGCGACCTCTTTACCATCTGGAACATTACATCGAGGGGAAGTACATCAAGTACAATTCGAACTCGGGATTCGTACGAGACGACAACATCCGTCTGACCCCACAGGTAGGACTTCCTTTCCTGGCCATTCAGCAGGTGATGGGTGACCTTAAGATCCTATTTGGTAAGGTTAAGGTTCCCATTGGCCTGATGCAACATCTGTTCTCTTTGCAGGCCTTCAGCCATTTCACCTTTGAACGCTCCGGACACCAGCTGATCATCGTGGACATCCAAGGGGTTGGAGACCTGTACACAGATCCTCAGATCCATACTGAGAGCGGCACGGATTTTGGAGACGGGAATCTCGGTAAAAAACAACAACAGAGCGATTGTTTGTCCTTGGGGGCGGCTTAACTTCTGCGGGGGTTGGGGAAAGTTGCTTGATTGGAAAAGGGGAACAGCTTCAGCTCTGGGAGACTTCTTGTTCTGACCAAGGCTTCCCGAGACCGTAATTAAGCACACGCTTAGTTAAAACAACTCTTGTTTTATTTCTGCGCTGGGAATTATGTGCATTCCCAGCCGGTAATGAGTCCCAAACAGTCCCTCGAGATAAGCACCCGCCTTTCTCTCTTTTGAATTGCTGCCAACAACTAGAGGGCCAAATGAATTATAAAAAACCAGCCGAAGTACAAAGTCCACACAGAGCTTCAAGGATTAATCCGAACAGAACAAACGACTTTGCTTCCTGCAAAGGTTTCATCTCCTTGGCCTGTCCTTTATACCTTAGGGGAGGAGCAGTCACCTCCAAGCCTTACACCCGAGTTGCCCCTTTTGTCTCAGTGCTCTTGCCTTCTGGCAGCTCTGCACATATGCGCACTGGGAACAGGCTCCTCTTGCTCCTCTGCCTCGCTGCTATCAGGTTCTGGAGGCTTCGGAGTCAGCACACAACTCCCAGATGGTCCTGGCCCCATCTCTGCATTGGACACAGGACCCTCATCTGAGTCCTCCCCAGACTCCCGGACTGGTCCCCGTTCTTCCCCACTGTCCGATTCCGCTGCCCTCTTCACAAACCACAACAACATCCATCCTTGGAAGGAACAATCTTTAAATGTGGGTCCAGGTGCTGATGAGAATGAGTGACATCAAGAGGTCCTCAATTTATCACAGTTTATTTAGTGATGGTTCGAAGTTACAATGGCACTGAAAAGAGTGACGTGCGATTGTTTCCCACCCTTGCAACCATTGCAGCATCTCCAGGGTCACCTGATGAAAATTCAGACACTCGGCAACTCATACTTATGACGGTCACGTGATCCCCTTTTGCAAGCAAAGTCAGTGGGGAAGCCACATTCACCTAACAACCGTATTATTAACTTAACAATTCCAGTGATTCACTTAACTGTGGCGAGAAAGCTCGTAAAATGGGGCAAAACTCAAGAAATGTCTCACTTAGCAACGGAAGTTTGGGGCTCAGTTGTGGTCAGAAGTGGAGGACTGCCTGCATTGCGATGCTATTGGGGAGTCCTTGGTGCATCTTAAGTTTGGTTGTTGGCTCGTTATCTGTTTCATTATCTGTCTACGTAACATCAGTGCAAGGGGATGTGGGGTGTGCTCCTTGTTTATAGTAGCCTGCCCTGCTAATGTTGGTTGGGGTGTGTGGCTTTCTCCCTTGGCAGTTCCTTGAATAGGGTATTGTTTTCTGTTTGATTGTTTGTCTGGTGTTCATCCCTGCTTATTCTAGTATATTGGTTGCTGGAGAAGGTGTTTTCTAGTCTTTTTTGTTTTCATCGCCTCCTTTAAATGATGTGTACATGTGGTTAATCTCTATGTGTCTGTTGATGGCTGGTTTGTCTGAATGGATCTTGACTTTGAGAAAAATCGTTAGGCTTCCATGTAAGGCTTTGCACCTCGAAACAATTTCTCATTCTTTCTATGGATGGTTCTCTACCTGTCCTAGGTGTGCGGGGGATGGCCTTGTTCTTCCATTCTCATTCCTGCAACCAGATTTGTCAAAGTATGGGGCTGATGCCTTTTGATCTCTCCTCCAAAGAGAAGGACGCCTTATTTCGTAGTAGCAAACTACTTGTAAGTATTGGCGGCAAAGGAGCTTCGAATCCCAGGAACTGCTGGGGGCCATTTTGTGAAGGCGGTTTGGTTCACGAACGCCTCAAAATGGTTGCATTGTTCGAACTGAAGCTTGGCTCACATTATAAGTGACGTGATATTGATTTAATAAATTGCACTAAATTAAATTTTGCACCATTTGAACAGGCAAGCAAGCCTCCTGCTGTTTCAGCAGAGACCCGTTTACTGAGGCAAGTTCCTGGCTGAGGTTTTGTGTTTCTCTGTCCAGGAATTGGCTCAGACTGTTGTGCGGGGCACGGAAGAGAAGTGTGGCAGTAGCCGGGTGCGAACCGTCTCCGGCAGCCGCCCCCCTCTCCTTTCCCGTCTTTCTGAAAACTCAGGGGATGAAAGCATGAGCGACATGGCGTTCGACTCCTTGCCGTCCTCACCGTCTTCAGCCACACCTCACAGCCAAAAGATGGAGGGTCTTCGTAAGTGCCCAGATGGTTTTTTTTTTTCATCAGTTATTGTGGGGTGGGGCCAGGGGTGGGATTCAAATTTTTTAACAACTGGTTCTGTGGGCGTGGCTTAGTGGGTGGGTGTGGCTTTGTGGTCATGTGACTGGCTGGGCGTGGCCAACTCTATCACTCACATCGAGGCACGCATCTCCTCACCTGGCCTCTCATGACTGTGGGGATGCTGCAACAGTTATAAGTGTGAAAAATGGTCATAAGTCACTTTTTTCAGTGCCATTGTAACTTTGAATGGTCACTCCACACAAGCAAAGTACCAGCAAAGGAGGGAAAAAAAACTCCAGAGAGGTTCCTGAGACAGGAAGTCCAGTCCTGCCAAGAATGTAACAAGGATTAACGGAGAGGCAGCTTCTGTAAGCAACACCAGAATGTTTCCTTCCTGCCTTCCTTACAGGATTAGGCCAGTAATTTCTTCTAACAATCGGTTCTCCGAAGTGCTGAGAATGTTAACAACCGGTTCTAGTGAATAGGTGCGAACCTGTAGAATCCCACCCCCTGGGTGGGGCTGCTGGTTCTAGAAGCAGCCTGGAATTAAGGAGAAACTTCCTAACAGTGAGGACAATTAACCGGTGGAACAGCTTGCCACCAGAAGTTGTGTTATTCCACCACTGGAGGCTTTTAAGAAGAGACTATAGACAGTCACTTATCTGGAATGGTATAGGCCAGGGATAGCAAACCTATGCCGGAAGTGGCACGCAGAGCCATTACTGCCAGCGGATGAGCCCTTGCCCAGAGCAAGTCTACTGTGCATATGCACGCCACCCGCCCAACAGCTGATCGGGTATCTGGCGCCCATGTGTGGGAGGGGCAAGGGTGTGCGGGAAGTCACCAGCAGTTTTTCATTCAGTTGTTTCCTGAGAAGTCTCAGGTAGTATAATTTGCTGACAGCTTGAAGTTACGACAGGGCTAAAAAAAGGTGACTTAACAACTGTTCCATGACATCTGTGAGGGTTCCATGAATTATCCATTCCAATCAACGACTCCGAGACAGGCATAATCCCAAAGTAATTTATTAGAACAGGAACATGGCACCCAAAAGACTCAGCCTACCTCCACCCCTTTCTCTCCATCATAAATCACATGTACTAATCAACCTCGTGCTCTAATTCTTGCTACTGCGATAGAGAATGACCTTGGCATTTTCCCCTCTATTTTGTCTATTGAAACAACAATAGTTAGCTTCCATCCTCCACCGCTGTGTGGCAGCTTTTAATAAGGATTCCAAAGCTGACAACTTCCTTGTTTAAAAGAGCGAAATCCTTGTTTGTTTTGACCTAGATTGGCCTGTCTTCAATGAAGTCGACAACTTGGTTCACAAAGACCACGAAGGCCTTGATAATCAGCGGGTACGTTCCTGAAGACCTACCTGGATTCATACGTTACGCTCGGCCCTAAAGAGATTGGGTTGGGTTTAGACTGCGTACATCCAGGCTCTGGTGCTTACAAGGCAGGGTTTTTGTCAACCACACAACTGTAATTTGCTCATTCAATGGTGGTTGAAGCAAGTCATGGTTTAGGGCCCTGGAGGAAGCAACCATTGGGTTGATGAAAAAAAACAACACCAAGTGGTATTAACTTTATTTTTTTAACCTCCTAAGATGCTCTAGTTTTGCAGAGGGTCTCCAAAACTGGCAAGACCTGTGGACTTCAACTCCCAGAATTCCTGTCAGCCATGTTTATAGTAGAAATTAACCAGTTGTTAGAAGTTAACCGTGCTTAACCAGTTGAAGTCCACAAGTCTTAAAGATGTCAAATTTGGAGACCTCTACTGTAGTGTGGTATCAAGACAGACCTTTCTCTCCATTGGTGATGTTCAGATATTTCTCTCCTCTTGAGTTTCCATTACTCTGTGAGTGGAGAATAAGTTCCATCATCTCCAGAAGGACCAGAACTGCTTTGATTGTCCTTCCCAACAGAAGAAGACAAAAGCTTTTGCATCCTTCAGATATTCCTGGGCAAAATCTCCCATCATAATCTAGAAGGGCAGAGCTGAGTCCCCCTCTCTGTTTTAAATCTTGCTTCTGTCAGGATTCCAGCGATCGCCCTAATGAAATCATGAGCCTTGAGCCAAACTTCAAAGAATTCATTAGGAGCGACATGCTGGCATGACCTGCATGAAGCTGATTCTGGCATACCTAATTGCAGTCACCTGTGACCTTGCTCCTCCCCTCCCCCCTGGGTGTGCCATAAACCAGTTTTTCCAATTAAGCACACAGGCTAGGTGTCATCCATCACATTCTCCAATTAAAGTTTTTCCCGGGCAAAAGCTTCAGTAGTTTAGCTACAATCTTTTTTTAAGATAAAGCTGGAATGTGCTTCTAAGTTCATTTGCCGTATCTTCTCCAGCCTCTTCTCCCCCCTTTCTTATGGCAACTTGGAAACAAGTGTAGGAATGTTTTACAAGTTCCTAATTTGGGTTGGAGGACCCCAAACCACAAGGATTTATAATACCGTTCTCAGCTGGATAGGACTCTTCAAGAAGGATGAAGTTCCATCTATAAAATAAGGATAAGAACTCTTATTTTTCCTCCTCTGTTTTTTATCCTTAGGATTCTGAAAATGGAGGGGACAGTGGGTGCCCCAGTGAGAAAAGGAGCGATCACGAAGACATGGATCACCGGGAAAAGGTGTTTTTTGTTTGTTTTTTTCAATTTCATACCCTGATCTTTGATATATTTTGAAACACATGATGCAATTTGCAATTGGATGGAGCTCCTGACTTGACTTCTCAGCAGAAGATAATTCATTGCATTTAGTCTGCGTAGACATCACCGTCCCCAAATTCCTGTAGAGTTAGTTCTTGATTTACAGCCATTCATTTAGTAACTATTCGGAGTGGTACAATGGCCTAGAGGTGGATCTCTCGCCTCACAATCAGGAGGCTGTGAGTTTGATCCTAGGTAGAGGCAGATATTTCTCTCTCTGGGCACAATGAGAGTATATCTAGTTGCCCAAACTCCACCCCACAAGGGATTATGAGGTCATTAAAAGGAGATGATGATTGAGCGACCATTTGAATGGCACTGAAAAAAGTGACTTATTGGCAACTATAAAACTTCTCAGAGTCGGCTACGCCCAGGTCATGCCGACATGTTGACTTCCAATAAATCCTTTGAAGTTTTGGAAGTTTGGCTCGAGACTTATGATTTAATTGGGGTAACTGCCAGAATCCTGACACTTATGAATGCTTTTCACACTTACATGACCATTGCAGCATCCCTGGGATCATGTGATCAAAATTCAGAGGCTTGGCAACTGGTTCGTACTTATGATGGTTGCTGTGTCTCAAGGTCACATGGTCCTCTTTTGCAGCCTGACAATGGGGAAGCCAGATTAACTTAACAACCTTGTGTCTAACTTAACAACTACAGCAGTTTGCTTAAGTCTGGCAAGGAAAGGTCGTTCAATGGAGCAAAACTCACTTAACAATTATCTCATTTAGCAACCAAAATTTTGGGCTCAGTTGTGGCCATAGGTTGAGGGCTACCTGTAAGGAGGGAGGTTAGATCAGCAGTTTCCATAATCTGTGGAGTGTTCTCTGAAATTACAGGGGTGAAATACCACACTGTATCGGTGTTTTTTATGCTGCTTTCTCTGTACAAAGTAATACAGGACAAAATCCATACAAGGGGATTAAAAAAACAGCATTTCTCAGTGCTTTGAGTGTTTTTCTATGGCCTGGCTTAAAAATAGGAACACAAAAATGTCTGTTTAATGGAATTATTAGGTATGTTTAATTGATATGGTGGTAGGCATTTGGAGAGAGTAAGGTTGAAAATAAATATTGAAGAAGTATGAATTAATATGAATATAATGCAATGAGAGATGTACGATATACTGATGCCACACTGTTAATGTATTGTTGTTATACGCAGATTGAAATAAAAAAATTTTTGGTCAAGAATAAAAATGTCTGTTTAAATCCTTTAAATCAGAGGTCTCCAAACTTGGCAACTTTATGACTTGTGGACTTCAACTCCCAGAATTCTTTAACTTCTAAAATTCTGGGAGTTGAAGTCCACAAGTCTTAAAATGGCCAAGTTTGGGGACCCCTGCTTTAAATACTTAACTTACCTATTTTTTAATTTAGTCTCTTCCTGACACTGGGCCAACTCCCCCCCACCCCAGAAAATGAAGCTTTTAGAAATGCTTTTCATCCAAACCTGAATTAAATAGTTTTTTTTTTTTTTTTCCCCCTTTCGACTCAGGGCCATCCTAACTGCAACCGGAGACACGAATCTGATGAAGACAGCTTGGGAAGTTCTGCTCGGGTAAATAAATCTGATTTTCCCCCCAATTGGGTTTGCTTTGTACCAGATGACCTGCTCACCAAAGCTGCATATTTTTCCCTGATTTGCTGAAGAATCTTTCTCCGTGGTTTATGCCTCTTTCTTCTCCCCTGTTTAATTCTTTCTCTTTCCAATTAGAGAAATAGAGAGACCGTTAAACCGAGTTTCAGGAACCAAAGGGTGATTCTGCATGGATTTTATTCTATCTCTGGGTTTTTTGGCTTGTTCTTCTCTTCGCCTGTTTTGGGCTCTTGGCAAACAACTCCAGAACGTGTGCTCCAGCATTGTGGTTTTTACATGTTTTTAAAGTTGTAGCCCAGAGTGGCCATATTAGCTCCTTTGAGAACTCCCTACCATGTAGAGGTGGTCTTCAGCCGGTTCTGACCAGTTCTGGAGAGCCGGCAGCGGAAATTTTGAGCAGTTCGGAGAACCGGCAAATGCCGCCTCTGACTGGCCCCGCCAACCCCATCTCTTCTCTGCCTCCCATTGAGTCCCAGCTGATCGGCTGGGTCTCCTTTTGTTGCCCTGCACAGGAGAACAGAACTGGAAAGCAGGTTAGTGGGGTGGGGAGGGAATGGGATTTTTGCAGTAACCTTCCCCTGCCACGCCCACCCAGCCACATCATGCCTACCAAGCCACGCCCACAGAACCGGTAGTAAAAAAATTGAATCCCACCACTGGTGAGCGCCCATCTATTCTCCGCGTCCCAAGTCCCAGCTGATCGGCTAGGTCTCCTTTTGTTGCCCTGCACAGGAGAACGGAGCTGGAAAGCAGGTTAGCGGGGGTGGGGAGGGAGTGAAGTTTTTACAGTATCCTTCCTCTGGAGTGGGGAAGGATGGGGATTTTACGCCCACCAAGCCACACCCACAGCACTGATAGTAAAAAAATAATAATAATAATTGAATCTCACCACTGCTACCACGTACCTAAATGTGAGAATGCGTTTAAATACTTAAGCTGTCAAAAGCACATTTCTTTCCTTCAAATACAGACTTGTTCAGGGATGCTTGCAGGGAAGGGAAGGATAAAATATGTATTGCGTTGTCACAAAACAATCTCCCTCCTTCCATGGGACATTATTGTGATGTTCCTAAGGAGCAGAACTCGTGATGTCGCAATGCACATTTTGTCTATTCTATTGAAAAAAAATTTATGTACTGGGAAGAGTTTTTCACTCTCTCACTTTTGACGTGTCCGGTGTGAAGCGTGCTCTCAGTGTGTTCGTGTCTCCTTGCGCTCGCTGCAGGCGTATCAATGTGTGCATGCACAGGTGTGAAGATCTTTAAGGATACTGTCCTGGCTTCCTGGCTAGCTGGCTGGGGGATTCTGGGAGTTGAAGTCCATGCATCTTAAAAGTTGGTTGAGGTTGAGAAATGCAGAGTTCTAGCCAATCTCAGTAAAGTATAGTTGTGGTTTTTTGCTAGAATTGATTTTTCTGATCTGGTCTACTTAGTAAGGTTCACAGAAGGTCAGTTCATGGTGAATTCAGACAGTCTGGCTTAACTTAACAAGCTACAGCTTACGTGATGTGTGTATGTGGTCCATGGCTGAGAAAAGCTCTGTTAAGATTTCAGTGTGAAAGGTTTTTTTTAACTTACAAAAGAAGTTTTGGGGTTCCACCATGGAGCCATTTTTTGGCCAGATAAGTCTTCTGCTGCTGGACTTCAGCAGTAGATTGTGAAGAAGCTCAGTGAGAAGAGCGTAGAGGGTGAAGATGTGAAGATCTTTTGGTTCTTTCTTCGCTTTCTTTCTCTAACTCTTCAGACGGAACCAAAGGTGCTTTTCCAAAAAGGCAAGTGAACTTTCTTGGGGCTTTTTTCCCTTGAAAACGTCTTGCTTCTTTCTCATCCATGAAGATTCTTCAGTTCTGAATGAGAAGCGAAACATTTTCAAGGGGAGAAAGTCCAAGTTGTCTTGTTGGAAAAGCACCTTTGGGACAATCGTAACTTGGATGATTGAGAATCTCCAAGACCTGATGGACTTTCCTACTTCCAGGTCAGCGTGGAGAAATGGAATCTCTACAACGCCGCCCGAGTTCACATTCACCGACCTTCTTGTGTTGCGGTAGAAGTTCAGAGACTCAACGGCCTGGAGCTGGAGAAGAAGATTGGAAAGTCCATCCTTGGGAAGGTGAGGGCTAAGCTACCTCTTATCTAATCGTCCCCTAAGCAGCATCTAGAGTACTGCATTCAGTTTTGGTCACCACACTATAAAAAAGATGTTGATGTAGATGAATAATTAGAAATGTATGGAAATGTGTATTTGTAACAAAGGTGTCTCAGTACTGTTAAAGATAATTGAGATGTGTAAAGAGAAGAAAGTGCAATAATAATAATAACAACAACAACAGCTTGGAACAGCTTATATCCTCCGATGCTACCTTAACAATTCCTAGGTCCTTGGTTAGGACTCGAGCTGTTGAGTTATCAACCAGCCCCAAAGGCTGTGAATCTCACTAAAGATTAAATAATATTAATATTAATAATAATAATAATAATAGTAGTAGTAGTAGTAGTAGTAGTAGTAGTAGTAAAGATGTTGAGACTCCAGAAAGAGTGCAGAGAAGAGCAACCAGGATGATGAGATTAAAACCTATGAAGAACGGTTGCAGGAACTGGGCATGACTAGTGAAGAGAAGGACCAGGGGAGACAGGAGAGCCGTCTTCCAATATTTGAGGGGCTGCCACAGAGAGGAGGAAGGGGTCAAGCTATTTTCCAAGGCACCTGAAGGCCAGACAAGGAATAATGGGTGGAAACTGATCCAGGAGAGATTCAACCTGGAAATAAGGAGAAATTTGAACAGAAGTTGCCTTTGGAGGTTATGGGAGCTTCATCCCTGGAGGCTTTCAAGAAGAGACTGGACGGCTATCTCTCAGAACTGGTGTAGGGTCTCCTGTTTGGGCGGGGGGTTGGACTAGATGACCTACAAGGGGCCTTCCAACTCTTGTTAATCTGTCTCCCATGGTCTTTCCTACGTACCGTTACGGCCTTTCCCCCCTCCTCTCAATTAGGTTCACCTGGCCATGGTTCGTTACCACGAAGCTGGCCGATTTTGCGAGAAGGATCAGGTGTGGGACCAAGATTCAGCTCTCTTCCATCTGGAACACGCAGCCGAGTGTGGAGAGCTGGAGGCCATCGTAGGGCTGGGCCTCATGTATTCTCAGCTATCTCATCACATCCTCGCAGAGGTCCTTCTACAGGTAATGACAGGCAGTCCTTGACTTATGACCACAAGTGAGCCCAAAATTTATGGGGCTAGGTGAGACAGTTGGGTTGCAAGGATCCACACGTTATTTTTTTCTTCATCAGCATTGATGATGTTACCTAGTTTGGGTAATGAAACGTCAGCAAGAGAACCACCAAGTTCAGTGAACCAAGGATCCCTCAGTCCTCCTCCTTCTCTTCCTCCTCCTTCTCTTCCTTCTCCTTCTCCTCCTCCTCCTCCTCCTCCTCTCCACAAGCCCAACTCCATTTTAGCCCTGATGATGTCACCTAGTTGGGTCATGAAATGTCTGCAAGAAAACACCCAAGCTCAGAGAGCACCAAAGACCACAAATTATTCCTCCTCCTCCTCCTGCTGTCTTCTCCTTTTCCTCCTCTTCCTTTCTACGTATTCCCCTCCTTGTCCTCTCCACAAACCGCACTTCCTTCTAGCACTGATGATGTTCCCTAGTTGGGCCACGAAAGGTCTGGAAGAAAACCACCAAGCTCAGAGAGCACCAAGGACCTCATAGTCCTCTTCCTCCTGTCCTCTTCCTCCCCTTCTCTTTTTCCTCTCCTCTCCTCATCTTCCTCCACTTCCTTCTCCTCTTCCTCCCCCTTTTTCTTCCTCTTCTCCTTCTCCACCCACAAACCCCACTCCCTTCTAGCACTGATGATGTTCCCTAGTTGGGCCACGAAAGGTCTGGAAGAAAACCACCAAGCTCAGAGAGCACCAAGGACCCCTCATTTCAACCCTGAACTACAAATATTCTCCTTTATCAGCCATTCTTTTTTCTTCCCCCCATTTCCATGTCTTCCTCAGGACACAAAGCAAAACAGAATCAAGGGCTTTGAATATTTGCGCCGAGCAGCCGAAGCTGGCGACCGTCCTTCCATGATTCTTGTTGCAAGAGCTTACGATACGGGCGTGAACCTGGCGCCAGACAGGTACTCTTGCAGGGTTAAAGAGTGGATCACCTCTATACAGGTAGTCCTCGACTTGCAACAGTTCATTTAGTGGACTGTGCAAAGTTACAAGGGCACTGGGGAAAAAAGTTACGGCCATTTTTCACATTGATGACCGTAGCAGCATCTCCATGATCACGTGATCAAAACTCAGATGCTTGGCAACCGGTTGTGTTGTCATATGATCAGTTGTGATGTCACACGATCAACTTTTGTGACTCTCTAACAAAGCAAAGTCCATGGGGGAAGCCAGATTCACTTAACAACCAGGTTTATTAACTTAACAGTGGCTTAACAGCTGTGGCAAGAAAGGTGATAAAATAGGGCAAAACTCATTTGACAAATCTTTCACTTAGCCACCTAAATTTCGGGACTCAATTGCAGTCATAAGTCGAAGACTACCAGCATAGGGCTTTCTGTCTGAGCAGGGGGGGTGGACTAGAAGACCTTGAAGCTCCCTTCCAACCTCGCTGTTCTGTTCGGTTCTCTTTATTGGTCAAGAGTGATTGGACCCACAAGGAATTTGACTCCGGCGCATAAGCTGTACGGGGCAGAGGGCCTGACTTGTAACCCAAAACATTTAACCTCCATTCAAAATCCAAGAAAGAAACGCTTAGACTCCATTATATAGAGAAAAGACAACTTTTTTCCTGGAAATCAAGTGGTAGCATCAAAAGAATTCTGAATCGGAGGAACTGCGCGTGAAAAATCACATATACAAAGTGATGGCAACGTTTCCACCCACAATAGTTCAAACTGTCCATCCAATTGAAGTTGTGTATAAGGTCCTGTGGGGCATCTTCAGGTGATGATGTAGGAATCTTCCCATTGACCTTGGCCTATTTTGATAAGGAGTTGCACCTGCGCAGTAAGCAAGCAAGTTAAGCATAAACAATAAAGTTTCCCCCCAAGTTATACAGTTCATTCTCTAAACCTCCAGCACATTTCCCACATACACAAAGCCCAAATAATTCACCACCCCCACCACCCCGTTACTATGGCAGCCGAAAGATGCGAAGGAAAGGAAAGGAATCTTGAAGGCTGACATAACCTACGACAAAAGCTACTACAGTTTGCTAAAGCAGGGGATTCCAAACTTGGCGACTTGCAGACTTTGCAGACTTGAGTAGATTGACTTTGGCCATTAGAGAGCAAGAAGAGAAAGAATATTATAAAATATGGGATTTATTTTATCAATGGTTAGGCAGGAAAATAGGAAAATGAAATACATTATAATAGAAATATAATAGTAACTATAGTACAATGATAACGATATGTTAGAATGGATTATTATGGAATGAATTATAATATGAATTAGAGCCAGTAAAAATTGAGATTTGCTCAAAAAGGTATAATGCAAACTTGCAATTATACTCTAATGATGATGTAATAATAATATAACACGACATGGAAAGTTGATTAACATAACATGAATATAAATTATTTAAATTTAAGAGAGAAAGACAATTGATATTGTGCACAAGAAAGATGGACCAACCGACACACACTGTATAACTGACTTGCGGACTTCAACTCCCAGAATTCCTTAGGAAGTATGGCTAGTAGTAGTTGAAGTCCACAAGTCTTAAAAGCTGGCCCTGCTCTTAAAGCCACATTCACTCCATCCGTTGCGCTTCTGGAGATGTTCATATTGGGTTCTTTTGTTTTCCACAGAGAGCAGGATTGGAAAGAAGCTCTGCATTGGTACGACAAAGCTTTGAACATGACCGATTATGATGAAGGGGGCGAGTATGACGGCACTCAGGATGAACCGCGTTATCTCCTCCTTGCCAAAGAGGCAGAGATGCTGATGACGGGAGGATTTAACTTGGACCAGGATCTGCAGAGGTCAGGTATGAAGCAGGCTTGTTCTTGGCTTCCCTGTGGGAATTCCAGCCTCTGAAATTCTTTGCACGTGGCCATTTGGCCCAGGGTCCCATGAGAGCCCATGGCCAGGGGTCTTGTTGTGGCCCGCCAGCAGCCAGAGGAGCTGGCGGTAGACTCGTACAGTGAGGAGGTTGGGGAGGAACATGGGCCAGTCATGGAGTCAGAGGCAGAAATGGGGCCAGGGCCGCCCAACAGTTATCAGCTGCCTTCAGAGTCGGAGATCAGTGAGGCAGAAGAATAGTTGGAGCCTGTTCCCAATGTGCGCATGCACAGAGCTGCCAGGAGAAGGGAATAGCTAAGGAACAAGGTTCAACTTGGGAATAAAGGCACAAGTGGATGGTTGAATGGCCTCTCCGAGAGGGAATAAAAGAGGAACAAAAGGGGAATGGTGTTTGCAGGAGACAATAAGTTCATTTAATTAGGGTGAAGATTTATTCGTGACTCCTTGCCAAATATTTTTCTGGTGCAGCGTTGCATTTGGGAGCTATCGGGCTGGCAACTCTCCAAGCCTGATAAGGTCTGTGCTTGTAATTCACCCTTGAAAGACTTTTTTGCCGGGATTTTGCTGGATGTGAATCATAGGAATTCACATTTTAGCTAACAAAAAGGGGTTTTGACGGGACGAGGAGTCTGCTCCGTGATTTTGTAAAGCCTAGGTCAGAACAGGTCTTAGGTATGTGACCCCAGGATTGGATTGAGTCTTTACCTGTCCTTCTCTCTTCCAGGAGATCTTTACACGGAAGCCGCCGAAGATGCTATGCAAGCGATGAAAGGCCGGCTAGCCAACCAGTACTACCAGAAAGCCGAAGAGGTTTGGGCCATGATGGAAGAATGAAAAACAGCAAAAGGCCCTCTCTTTCCTTGTATATTTCGATACAGAGACCCTTTTTAATAATTTAAAAAAAGAAAAAAATATTTTGTTCTGAAGCTTTATGGAGAACCAGGAGAGAGAAAAAGAGACTTTTATATATATATATATCTATATTTCTTCTCTGCTTTTATCCGTAGGATTCTGAAATTGGAGGGGACAGTGGGAACTGATCTTCTCTTTAACATGTGGTTTTTTTAAAAAAAAACTTCTTATTCAGGTCTCATTTGGCAGACTCCAAATCTTCTGTATGTGGTGATGGAATGCAGTTCTGATTCCTCTCTCAATATATTTTTTTTCTTTTGTGCAATTTTCCAAGTCAGATTTTTTTTTTTTAAAGACAAAAACAAAAATTTGGAAGAGGTCACATAGATCCTCCGTGTTTTGCTAGGAGATTCATTCTTGTAGGTCTCTTGCCTGGCTTGCTGGCCTCATTCTCCAGAATGTTTTTGGTTTTTTTTGTCTATAAATGAGATTTTATTTTGTTCTGCATGTTTATTTGCTGAACAGTTCGGAGTGGATGAAGCTCCCACAACTTCCGAAGGCAACTTCCGTTCCATTGGTTGATTGTTCTCACTGTCAGAAAGTTTCTCCTTATTTCAAGGTTGAATCTCTCCTTGTGGTGTAAGATTTCCTGCCTAGGCAGGGGGTTGGACTAGAAGACCTCCAAGGTCCCTTCCAACTCTGTTAGTCTGTTCTATTCTCTAATGCTCTGTTCTAGCTTCAGAGGGTTTACTGCTGTACTTTTTGTTACGCTTACATCAGTCCTGTAAAGGAGGTTTAGCTGACTTCATCCCTGAGCCAATATGAGCTTGCTGCTAAAATGGAGATTTAAAATTGAATTGCTTCAGAGACGCCGATTAATGGAATTGCCGATTAGTCCTGCTAATCCATAGCAGCAGCTGCTGTTGTGTTTTTATGTAGAGTCAACTAGCAATCCGGCACAGCAAATGCCAATGCAACTCAAACGATCTTTGAAAATGAAGTAGTCAAATCCAAAATAAAATGGCAGGACCGCTAAAGAGGAAGCAGGAAATTACATTAGCCTGATCCTTTATCTGGACCACTGATTCTTTTTCTTGACCCTGATCAAGGTCATCATTTGGGTTTCTAGCATTCTAGACCAGTGTTTTTCAACCTTGACCACTTTAAGGGGTGCAGACTTCAACTCCCAGAATCCCCCAGCCAGCTTGGCTGATTGTAGAATTCTGGGAGTTGACATCCACGCATCTAGCTGCGAAACACTTGATGTAGACAATACTAAAACGCCTTTGAGGATTCATGCATCTCTTTCTAAAACAGAGCAGAGCAAAAGCCAGTTTCTAAGCAAGCGTGGGCGCGCCCATTTTACAGAGGAGAAATACTGAGGCTTTGGAAGAAAGCATTGAGCAGCAACCAAGCTTGGCCAAGACTAGAAATTCTTGGTGATCGACTAAAAATTTCCTAGGAATCTGCGGGTGTGTCTCGATTGACCTTTTGCTGGTTCTTGACCTAACCAAACTTGAGTCATTTTGAGCAACTCCTTACTCATTAAAGACACTGAGTTTTGCAGCTGAATCTGTAAAAAACAACAACAGTGCATTCTAGCTGTCCTACAGAATTATAACCTTTTAAGGAAATTAGCTGGAAATTGCTTTATCTCCTCCTATATCCACAGATGCAGAAGCATTTTTTAGCAATTAAAAAAAATATCTTTAAAACCAATAGCATTCTTTGCTCATCTCGAACAGATACTTATCATTGTATAAACAAAACCAAATTCATCTCAAGACATCTTACTAGTTTTTTTTAAGTAGTGGTAGCCTTTTATTTTATTTTGTTTTGTTTCCTGGGTGTTCCTTGCTGCAGCTTTAAGACCTATTTGCTTGAATGTCATTTTATACCGATTTTCTTGATGGTTCATTTTTATGTTCAAGCTGGAATTCTGATAAGAGAAAACTTGTATTTCCAAATAACTTAGATACAGTCCTGGAATTTTGGAGGTCGGTAGGAATGTACTTGTAATAAATAAGAATACTTCTGCAGAGAAAAATTGGTAGACATGAAAAATGGATATTGTATATCCAGGGAGGAGAAATGGAAAAAGCCATGTTGCACTTCGTGTTTTGCATTTACTTGAGGGCCAAACATTTTTGCTATTTTCAACTTACTGCTCAAAAGCATTGCTAACTTAAGAAGAATTTGGCTGCTTATCTAGAGGCAGGTGAGAGGTGTATGGTTAATTAAAGGTTTCCTTTTATTTTGTGTGAATGTCTACTCTGCCACATAACAGCAGGAAGTACATATGTAAATTTTGCTGTCCTGCAGACAATAACATGGATCCATTAAGGTCATTATGCCCTCAACTGTTGAATAAGTTTTAATAAACAGCTAGTGAACAGGAAGCTTTTGAGTCAAGAAACAATAGTCCTTAAAAGCAACAGAAGTGGTTTGGCCATACTTCTGACAGGTTATTTCAACAAGTGCATTCATATATATTTACTATATACATATATAGTAAAGCTAAAGTATAACAAAAAAGATACATGTCATTATACATATGTGTAAGCTCTTGATGATGTCATCGTACATATGTATAAGTTCTTCGCTTCTTCCAAGAACAATCAATAAAATGGGCAATTTTAGAGGAAAAAAATTGTTTATTTGGAAATGTCAGGATTACAGTTTCACTTCTCTTTACTTGAAAAATATATTCTGAAGTCCAGAGTTCAGGAATGCTTAAGCTTGCCCAGAGTAGAGTTTGCCATCTTTACATTGCATTCTGCAAAATTGTAGGGCTTCATCTGGCTTGTCTGTCTATGCAATTAATTGTTAACATATACTTCTGAAACCAGAATTATTTGATCTGCTCGTGTGTATGGTTGCTAGAGAATGCCCCTAACCACATCCCCATGGCCAAACTCTTGAAAAGCAGACAATAAGGTGTTTAATTTACATCTGAACTGTCCGTGGTAGTTCAAAAGGACTGATTTCTATCAATACAGAATCCCTGCAGATAGATAAAATCATTGTCTGCCAGAATTCAAGAACTTCAAACTTTCTCTGTAGCGTCTTGATTTTTATCTATAAAAAAACATTTCTGATTTGGCCTTCGGGTTCTATACGAGATCTTTTTTCTGGATCCAAGATGGTAGAGATCACATTTCTTTGCTAAATCCAAGAAGGGAGTTTTCTGTTTTGCTTTCCAATCTATTAAAAAGGGATCTGGAATCGAATCTACTCTTGCTATTGGACCTAAATCCCCAGTGGCAGGACTAGTGGTGAAGGATGGAATTGGCATTTCCTGGTAAATCCCATGGTTCCCTGCCTTGGATTGTATTTTGCTTTTCAATCTGATGGTCAATTAATTCCATTTCCTTCTGCACCCTGCCTTAGCTGCATGCTTTTACTACTACCTCTGTCCAGCAAAAAGATTGGCAAATCCCAAGATAGATAGACTTGTCCTGGATTTGACTGACAAGCTTCTGCTAATTTCTATTTGCTCAACGGATTGATGAATCTTTTAAAACAGCGATGTAGTATTTTGAGCAGTGCTACACGCTGAGCCTCTGTAAGTAAGGAATAGTAGCAAACATTAGATGATGGCTTAACAAGCATTATAGCAGAGGGGCTGAGCTGGTGGCATAGAGAATTTTAAAAGTTCAAGTCTTGTGAACTATGTTTACATTGCCCTGCAAAAAAAAAAAAAAAAAGGCAGAAAATGCTGTGATATGTTTTCAATAAACTTTCTCAAGGATGGATTTTGTCTGCATCTTTATTTGGGGGGTCTTCGCCATTACGGATTGACCATATTTACGTTCTTGAATTTATTTGCAGTTGGAGTTTGGGAAACATTGTATTTTAGGGCAGATGTTCTCAAACTTTACAGTCTCATGGCTTCTTAGAACGATGAAATAATCTGCAATTTTCCCTTCCCTTCCCGAGTAAAATGAATCATTTCCTGTGTTCGGGCTGGGCAAGAAATTGTAAATGGAGTTTAATATATGTTATGAGAATTTGCGGACAGCGGGGTTTTAAATCTACAGGAGAGTTACAACCTGCAGTTTGAGTGTCTTCTAGAAAAATAAAACAGATTCAGGATCGCAACCAATGGATTGGTGGAGTCATCAAGTCTATCAATGCTTAAGTGACCACGAACATTTTCTCCAAAGTGGTCTCTTTCTAACCCAGTTCTTCAGCTCTTCCAGCAGTGCCCCAAACACCACTGTGTATCCATCCATGTTGGTGCTGGTCATCTCTCTTTCCATCTTTCCCAGCATTGTGGACTTCTCAAAGGGACCTGGGTCTTTAGATCAATCGATTGATTTCTTATGTGCTATCAGATTGGTATTGGTGGATATTGTAGGTGGTGTGGCGGCTCAGTGGTTAAAGATAGAATAGAACAGAATAGAATAATGGAAAGAATAGAATAGAATAGAACAGAATACAATTCTTTATTGGCCAAGTGTGATTGGACACACAAGGAATTTGTGTTGGTGCAAATGCTCTCAGTGTACATAAAAGAAAAGATACATTCGTCAAGAGTCAAGAATCATCAGGTATAACGCTTAATGATAGTCCTAGGGTACAATAAGAATAGAATTAGAATAGAATTAGAATAGAATAGAATAGAATCTATTAAGAATAGAGTAGGGTAGGGTAGGGTAGGGTAGAATAGAATAAGAATAGAATAGAATAGAATAGAATAGAATAGAATAGAATAGAATAGAATAGAATAGAATAGAACAGAATTCTTTATTGGCCAAGTGTGATTGGACACACAAGGAATTTGTCTTGATGCAAATGCTCTCAGTATACATAAAAGAAAAAATAATTCGTCAAGAGTCAAGAATCATAAGGTACCGCATTTAATAATTTATGGAAAAGCAAAGAAAGAACATACAGAAATATTAACATATATACCAATAATAACAATAATGATAGTGTAACAGAATAATTTTGATTAGCCTTTCTCTTTGTATTAGCTTATTTGTGATTCCGTTGATTATATTAGCATATCTATGATTATAAATAGATAGATAGAATTCTTTATTGGCCAAGTGTGATTGGACGCACAAGGAATTTGTCTTTGGTGCAAATGCTCTCAGTGTACATAAAAGATACATTCATCAAGAGTCAAGAATCAGGTACAACACTTAACGATATTCATAGGGTACATTAAGCAATTGAATCATACCAGGAAACAGTCAATATAAATTGTAAGAATACAAGCGACAAAGTTGTAGTCCTACAGTCACAAGTGGGAGGGGATGGGTGCTAAGGAGTGATGAGAAGATTAACAGTAATAGTAGTGCAGACTTTATAAATAGTTGGACAGTGTTGAGGGAATTAGTTGTTTAGCAGAGTGATGGCGTTTGGGGAAAAAAACTCCTTGTGTCTAGTTGTTCTGGTGTACAGTGCTCTATAGTGTCGTTTTGAGGGTAGGAGTTGAAACAGTTTATGCCCAGGATGTGAGGATGCTGGGGTTGTTGGCTGAAAAGCC